TTTCATGGTCCCTTTCTAATGCCACCCCTTCAACGAGAGCCTTTCCTTATGCCCTGAGCCAGTCTGATCCGTTCTCTGCCTTCGGACTGTTTAAGGACCTAACCTTGTTGTACTTTCCTTAGTAAATACAGTTGACCTTTGAACTGTACAGCTCCACTTATACATGGGTTTTTTTCAATAAATACTGACAGATGATGATTCTTGTAAACAGATGATGTAAACTCATGGTATAAATATAGTAAATGTAGTTTCTCTTCCTTATGTTTTTTTTTTTTTTTCCTTTTTGTCTTTTTTCGTGACCGGTAACGGGATCGCAACCCTCGGTGTCGCGCCCGCACCGCGCTCAACCAGTGAGTGGACCGGTCTCTATATGGGATCCAAACCCTGGGTGGGAGTGCCGCTGCGCTCCCAAGCGCCGCACTCTACTGAGTGCGCCACCGGGCCGGCCCTCACCGCCATCTTTTGCAAGCTAACTGCAACAGCTTTCTGAATGTTTTTCCTATCCCCCCTCACCCCAAGTCCATTCTTCATGTTGGAGCCAGAGTAACCCTTTAAAAACAAAAATCTGATCATTTCATTCCAGTTAAATAATTACACAAACAATTATGTACCTATTATATGTTCCGGCACTTGGTATATAGCTAGTGAACAAAATTCTTCTATGTAAAGCCCTACATTGATTTTCTCTTCCTCATGATAAAAAAAAAAAAAAAAAAACTTAACATGGCTTCCAAGGCCCCTGCCTACTTTTCAGTGTGCCACTTATTGCCTCACCCTCTTCAATTTGGCCACACCAACTTCTTTTTATTCCTTTAAGTTGCCATTGGACAGTAGCTCAAGGGTGTAGCTGGGTGGAAACATAGGAAAATGTAGACAGAAGAGAGGGAGGTAGTGGAGAGGGAATGGTTTTTGAGTGACGGAGATAGGGACTGATGGAACAAAGCAATGGAGGGAGGCGGGCTGGGGTCAGGAGTGCAGACTGAGCTGTGGGATGTTAAGGAGAGAGGGATGTTTGTTTCCTATGGATAGTCAGGAAAAGAGGAACAGAGAAGAGACAGAAATTTTGAAGTGGACAGCAGGGAAATGGAGGTCGTTCACAATTTCAGCAAAACAGGAACCAAGGTTGTCTGCTCATGGAAGAGTGGCGAGGGAAGGAGGTAGCCAGAGGCTGAAGGAGTGTGGGGACGTCTTGGATGTGAAGTGGGGAATGCTCTAGGGAGGGTAGGAGATGAATGAGAGGCCTATGGAACAGTTATGGGGGCCCAGGTGAGGTTAGCCAAAATGTTGGGGTGGACTACAATCATTCAGAAGTTGGGCCCCATTAAAATAAACTTCCCAGATTGTTAAGAAGTAACGTTGGTGAATGTTAAAGCTGTTTACTAACATACACAGCTATGGCACTTTCAGGGGAGGCAAAGGAAAGAAAGATTGCAAAGATCAGCACTAGAAGTCTATGAAGGTGCCGAGATTAGACCTAAGGGAATATTGTAAGCAACCAGATTGCTGAGTAGTCACTTTCATCCCAAGTGTTGTTGCTGACACATTCTTTCTGCCTTTTAGACACCTGCTGTCCGGTGGGATGGATACTGAGCCAGAGGAGCTGCTTTTACTTCTCACTTACTCAGAGAAATTGGGAGGAGAGCCAAACCTATTGTCGATCTCTGTCCTCCAACCTGGCCACAGTCAGTGAAAATTTTCAACATTCAGTAAGCCTAGCCTTATCCACAGACTGAAGTGGGTACTGTTAGGTAAAGGGATGTATGTCATCAATTGCACACATTGCAGATACCAGTAATCAATCACAATACTGTTTACCACTGTGCTTGGAAACAGCCTCTGCATCTTCTCAGCACAGTGCTCCAGGTGGCCCCTACCAACTGACTGGAGTTGGCATGAGAGCTGAAACTTATAACCATCTCTACTTTAATCTATGTTTTATCTCAGCTTGCTGATCAGCTCTCTGGGCTGCTCAACAGGTTCTTTGACTCTCGTAGCCTCTCAGGCAGAGAGGTGCCATACCTGGTGGGCTGGATTGTAGGGGCTGGTTCCTTAGCACCAGAACAGCCCACAGAATAACTCCCCTCTAAGGGCTGGCAGAAATTCTTACCCAGCTGGGAGGTGAACTAAAGGGTGAGGCTGCATCTGCAGGGTGGCACCTGATGGATGCAGGGACAAGTTGCCGATGAGCTGGCATGTACCAAAGATGGACACAGCCCTCTTGCCAAAGCTTACAGTCCTCCCTAGCATGCTCATTTTCTTCCATATTTCTCGTCACTCTCCACACACCTATGATCTCTCTGAATCTTCCCTCAGCGTTTTCCCAGCAGGTCAAGTGAGTTGTCTTCACATGTTGGTTCAGATGATACATATTGGATTGGCCTCATCTATGATAAGAGCAGGAAGTGGATTGATAATACAAAACACTCTGGGTAAGTTTGTTAGGACTTTCGGGTATTTTCAATTCCATGATCCCTTCAAAAAGACATAGTAATGAGATCTCCTCCCCAGGTCCTGCTCTCAAAACTCTTCCATAAATCAATATTGTAATTGCCTATTTGTCTGTCCTCTGCTTAATAACTCTTTAGGGCAGTCTTATGTTCTATTCTATCCCCAGTACCTAGAAGTCTCTGGCACATACTTTAAAAAAATAAATAATTACTAGGTTGGGACCTATGTCATCTTTCAGAGGAAGAAGCTGAGGATTTAGCTAGGGATTCACAGCTGACGAAGAACACAGGCATTCTAACTCCCCATCCCTTGACAAGGCTGCCCAAACTGAGGTTGTACTTTCTCGGTTGGGGCCACTTGGGGCACTAGAGCTGCCCCAGGGAAGTGAGCAAGGGAGCAGTGGGGTAGCTTTAAGGATCAACCCCCAGGGACCCTGAAACAGGGTGGCCACCTCTTTATGTTCCCTAACTGGAGTTTTCATCTTTAAGACTTCAGGTGAATGTTCCCTCCCCTTGCCCTAAAGGTTTTTCTAGTTGGAGTCCAGACATTTGTCCCTGAGCCATGCCCAGACATGGTCTTAGGCAGGCAAGGTGAGTTAGGACTTGGGTTAGGTTCTATCCAGGGCAAGGGGAAAGAAAAAAGGATGGGCGAGGAGGGGTCTTGAACGTATCCCAGTTCCACTTCACTACTCTAAGTTTATTTATAATCAAAGCTCAAAATGTACCAAGGTACAAAAATACTGGTCATGGTTAGAAGTGAAACAAGAGACGTGTACAAGTCGTCTTCCCTGCATCTGTGAGATGGCAGCTTTCAGGTTTCCAGATGGGGACCACCCTTTGCACTGAACCGGGTAAGTGTGAGGGATGGGCTGAGGCATGGGGAGTCCAGGGGCAGAGAGACTCACAGCAGCAGCTGAGAGCCTGAGGGAAAACTTGTTCCTGGGGAGGACAGTCATGTCCACAGCCTCTGGTGGCTTGGCTGTTTGTGTAAAGGCGGGTTGGACAGAGGGAGGAGCAGGTAAGGCTCAGAACTGAAGGGAGGCTGGTGATGTGGCTGTTCAGGGAGTTGGGGAGAAGGGGTGAGCTGGATGAGGGTTTAGTGACAATCAACTGTAGAGCTCACCGATGCTTTACTCTTTCAGATACTCATACCAGCAAGTACCTGCATCCCTCAGACCTAACCTGTGGTCTGCAGGTCCTAAGATCATCTCCCCCCAGGAGTCCCTCACTCTGGGCAGTGCCCAGCCAAGGGCTGATCCATGCCTGACACTTCTAGCCAGCCTGCTGCCTACTTGAAGCCCTGCCCCAGAGACTGGACTGCTCCTGGGAAAAGGGTGAAGAAGCCTCTACAAGGGACTTTGGCCTCCCCCAAGAACCTCCCATAGTGGAATGGGAAGGGGGGAGGAGGGCGCATGGGCTGAGTGGATAGGGGCAGCCCGGAGCCAGCCAGGCAGTTTTATTGAAATATTTTTAAATAATTTGCACGTGTTAGTCTTGTGTGTCAGCAATGCTGTGTCTGGTTCAGTGATCCCCACAGAAGAGCGAGCCCAGGGGTTGGACAGGAAGTGCTCTGTCTCTCGAGTCCACGCTGAGGCTCCCATATACGGGGAGAAAAGTTGGGGAGAGAAGTCAGTCAGCCCATCTGGGGCTGGCACTGTCCAGCAAGTGCGCTCTGTCCTCATGGGGTGTCCTGAAGGCCAGAGTTTCAGGCCCCACTGCTAAGAGCGTGCCCCAGGCAGCTGCAGGCTGGGCGTGGGTGGCTTGGCATGGTGCCCTCGGTGGCAGAGGAGACTGCCCGCCTCACAGTTCAGGTTGCGGTAGCGGGCAACAGCTGGTGTGGGGCGGGGGCACATGGACAGAAAACCGAAGCTGAAGGGGCCCAGGCAGCAGCCGGGACAGGGCAGCCCCTCATCGGGCTCCCGAGGAACAGAAGGGGGTGGCGAGGGTTCTGTCCGTTCCAGGGCTGCCGCCCGGGGTAGGCTATGTTGGGCCCGGTTCCAGGGCTCCCCAGCCCAGCCTTGTGGGGAGTTTACCACCACAGCTGGGGGGTTGTTGTTGAGGGGAGGTCCTGATCTAGGGGACCAGGGTTGGGAGGCTGAGGAACAAGTGCTGATGAAGTTGTCTGTGGCCACAGCCAGGGGCAGCCGGGGAGACGGTCCTGGGGGTTCTGGCTCAGGGCTGCTGCCCTCACACTCCATCTTCTCTTCAGCCGAGGGCCCCACAGGTGGAGGGCCAGGACCTGGCAGTGCTGTTTCCATACGTCGGGGGAGCTCAGGGGACGAGGGTAGTGAGCGACAGCGGCGGGCAGGTGTCCCAGGCTGGACCAGTGTCTCTGGAGTAGTCACCAAGGGCAGCTGGGTAGAGGGCAGTGGTGATGGTGCTACAAGGGGCAGGGGGATGACTGGCTTGCTGGGTGTGTCCAGAAGCTTGATCTTGCCACCCCTGAGGTCTTCCCGTAGTGAGAAGGGGTTGACTCGAGTCAGATTGTCCCCCCAGTTGGGGGGTGATTCTGGTGATGGGGGCAGGAAGAGGTCTGACCGGCTTCGGGAGAGCCGGGGGTCTGGCCTGGGAAGTGTGGCAGAGGGACCCCCTCTTGGAACAGACCCTGTAGACAAAGAAGTCTGTGATCACTGTTCTCAGCATTTGATCATAACTTATTGAGGGCCTCATTATTCTCCAGGAGACTGGTGGGACTAGAGCTTAGAAAAGGGAGTCCCACAGGGTGCTTTGGAAAGAAGGAATATCACTTCCAGGCCCTTTTCCCCTCTCCTTTCCTTTCTCCCCTCCCTCAGGCTCCAGCATTAGAAAACTACCTTCTTTGACATGTCCTCCCACCCTACCCACCCCACCCCACCGCTCAGCCTTCTCAACTAATAAATATACTTAGCCTCCCCCAGATAATTCTCTGAGTTCTAAGGAGGAGAGAGGCAAAAGGACTTCAGTTGGGTCAAGGTCATGCTCACTTACCCTGATTGTGGGTCAGGGAAGTCCTGGTGAGAGGGGCTAGTTCAGGCAGCTGCTCCAGGATCCATTCCAGGTGCTGGGTGATTTCGGTGAAGGGGGCACGGGCACTGGGTTCCATCTGATGGGTAGAGACAGGGCAGTTTCATTCAGTGCTCGGAAAGAGGGTTCCTGAGTTTTCCTCCCGGGACCCATAGGGAAGCCATGTCAGCTCATGGATGGGGTGGGGACGGGGGGGGGGGGGGGGGGGGG